GCAGGAAGGGGGGGGGGTGCTCGCTTGCCCCCCCCCCTTTTCCTGCCGTGCCAGGCCTGTGCTCGGATCAAGGGTCTGGTTAAGAATTTTAGAGGGGACCCCATGTTTCCCCCCATTTTTGGGGGTGGGGTTCCTCCTTAAAATTCCTACCAGACCTTAAGGGCCTGGTATTGCTTGGGAGGGGGAACCGCACATTTTGTTTTTCTTTATAAATGTAATTTTGCTGCAGCAGGTTCTATACATCATACAGATGTGCCACTTTACAGGCAGTTTAAGGGGATCGCCCCGGCATGATATTTAAAGGAATTTTTCATTTTTATTGTTTCACTTTAAGAAATGTTAAAATCACTGCTCCATTAAAACAGTATTTTTTAAAAGTGTTTTTTTGCATTGATACATGTCCCCCAGGGCAGTGCTGAATGCCCATATCTTTCTTATGGCCAATAACTTGCATATAAGCTTTCAAAATGGGGACATTTGATTTTCTGCGTTCTGGTCCCATAGACTATCATTGAGTTTGAAGTTTGAACTTTTTCCATGTTCTAAAGTTCGAGCTCTAACCAAACTCAGGTGTGTTCACCCATCACTACTGATCACCAGTGGTCTTACTTGAGGTTACAAGCAGCTAAAAACCAACATGCAAATGAGTGAACTTCTTGTTGCCACTACTAAAGCAGAAGGGGGATTTTCTTTTAAATAAAAAAATGAGTAGTGTATCCATGTGTTAGGGAGGTGGACTTCAAAGCAGTGCAGTAACTTCCAAAAGAAAGAACCAGCCACATAATTTACTACAGCAGCAACATTTGTTGTAAAATTTGCATCATATATGTGGTTTGTAATTCACTAATGGATTTTGTGCATGAGCATAAATTCCTAAGTCTACACTTCATTGTACAATAAAGCAAAGTTGCTTACATTTTCCTTTCTCGTATAACTCTCATACAATTCTTTTTCCCCTGCCACTTACTTTTCATTTCAAGACACCATCTCCGGAAAAAAATGCACTAGTCACAAAGGCACAAAATGCCCATTGTCAACTAGTTATATCTGGCACTGTTCGGATTTAAACTGCACGTGCTATTGAGGCAATTTCAATACTCCACAAGGCTTAGTGTGCTAGTACTGGCATGTTACATGGAGAAGAATCATATAAAGCAATGGGAAATAATTTTTAAACTAAAACACATGCTGTTTGCTCTTCATGAAACACTTCACATTATTTGGACTTTCACATCATTGAAACACACCACGCCATGCCATTTAGTCAAAAGGAATTTCTAAATGCAATATGCACTTAAATCATTACTACTGGGAAGCCACTGTCTGCAGTGACTCATCATGTTTGCGGTCTTGTCTGCCCTGACGGAAAGTGACATTCACCAGACTATTTTTCAAAGTAGTTATCAAAATTGGAAATGGCTGTAGTATAAATATATATGTAAAATCATGAGTGTGTGATTGTAATGACAAAAATCTATTTAATGAGGATGTCAGCACTGCAACATCCATTGCTGCCTGGGTAAATTACTGGATATTGTGCATACAGGCTAACCGGCTGAAGAAATGTCTAAACTAATTATTGTAGCATACGCGCTTTGCAATATTTCCACTTCTAGGTTGACATAGAATGCAATGAACAGTAAATACCTGATGACCCTACTATCTTGATTCTTTTTTCCCGTATATGTAGCTTTAATTGGTACTTATTGCTCACAATACTTTGTATTTCTTGCAGTTCTTTCAAACACTTGATTGGAGGATTAGATGATGTCTCTAACAAGGCATATGAAGATGCAGAGGCTAAAGCAAAGTAAGTAATATGATAGGATTAAATGTATCACTATGGAATTTAAAAGTAAATCTTTAACATCAGTGATATGCAATAAGCTGTTATACCAAGATGGTAAAAAGGTTTCAATGATTAACATGCTATGGAATTCATAGTATTTTTCTAGGGAATCACTAACTTGCTAAATTTACAGGGATTTGTAGCTCAGTCACACAATGAGCTTGAGTAGTGTCATATCAGTTACAAGCTTGCCAACAACAAGTGCTCAGCATTCACCTCTATTAGCTACAAATAGCTGATGGAGAGCAATTTGTCGCAAAGCACACCAACCTAATAATTAGGGATGCTCTGATACAAGCATCGGTATCGGCGGTGATACCGAGTATTTGCATGAGTACTCGTACAAATACTCCGATACAAAAAACGAGTACCTGTGCCACGCCCGCCCACTTTAAGGACCCGAAACCGCCGCACACAGGACCTCCATAGCGTCTTCAATGAAACAAGATGGCCGCGAACTCCTCCAAGTCCTCAGTCATCAGCTCCATTCTGACCTCTTCTCCCACTGATTGGCCGATTGGATGTTGACAGGCTTCCTCACCAGTCAGGAGTGACTGGTGAGGAAGCCTGTCATCATCCAATTGGCCAATCACCGCGAGAAGAGGTCAGAATGGAGCAGATGACTAGGCTGTGGCACGGAGTGGCTGAAGCAGACGGAGAAGAAGGGGTACAAGCCTTAGTTAGCAATGGCATGATAAATATTCATTTCATGTTAATTTCAAGTTCTGCATGATATTAAGAAACTGACCTAAAATCATGATTTTGTATTGCTTTAGAAAAAATGTGACCTGTCCCTTTAAGAAAAAGTATTGGTATCGGTACTCGTACTCGGTCTTAAGAAAGTGGTATCGGAGCATCCCTACTAATAATGTAGCAGCAGTAGCTTAACCTGTAGCACCGACAAATAGTTTCAAAAACCACCAGTGACTATAGCAATTAAATCTCTAGCTACAAATCCGTATTAATCATTGGCATTAGCGACTTAGAGTAGTTATTAACTGCTGCAACCAAATTACCCATTTGACATGCCCCACAGATTGAGTTAGAGAATCAAAGTACAGTGGTAACTCGGTTCACGAAATGAATTTGTTCCATGATTCTGGTCGCGAACCGAATTGGTCACGAACCGAATCAAACTGCTATCAGACCGCAATCTTGACTAGAGGAAGCCACGACCATGTGTCAGAGCAGGGAAGATGGCCGTGGTCGTCACCCGATGTGGAGTTGGGGAACGGAAGCAACATTTTGCCGAACTTTCTGTTCGCGAACGGAATTGTTCGCGAACAGAAGCGTTTTACTGTATTACTGTTTTAAAGATAAAAAGCAGACAAATGTAAAGGTTTCAAAATTATGCCTCATATTATAATATTTTAAGAATAAATATTTAAATCCTTGCATAAGACTAATTGTGAATGACTCCTTTAACTCTGCCCCAAGGCTTCAGCAAATGTTTTCATAAGTATGGATGGTCCAACCACCTCTTTATTTGCCTGCACAGCTTCTCCCTAAGACATTAGATTTTAGACCCAATTCCAGCTTGGTCAAAAAAAGACAAAAAATAAATATCCCCCCAAGGAGGAAAAAGGGATTTTTAAAGATCTGGCCAAAAGCAGTCATTTTGATAGACTGTCATGTAATACTAATGGGCACATTTAGAAAACATCCACAAATGGGATTCTGACTGAACTTGCTGAAGTACACACTAAAATGAAGACCAATATGGTGAGACATTTTGATACGAAATACAGGAAAGGAAAAAAAACCCAGCTCCACTCTTTTGAGACTTTTATGTAATTTGCACTAACTTCAAGCAGAGAACATATGAGTCAACAAAGTGCATGGTCTCATAATTATATTAAGCGATGTGATAACTATTGCCATCTGTTTGAGAGCTGTGCACATTAATGAAGTGTTTTTTTAAATTTTGTTGAGAATAATGTATAGAAAGAGTATTTCTAGTTGAATTAACTTTCTGAGCACTTTCTATTATGTTATCTCACTATATCTCTTATTCTGCACTTTCAGTTTTCTTCCTAAGAGCAGAAGCCACTTAGTTATAATTGTGCTGTGTGGATTCCTTTACCCCGCTAGGTACATCAGCACTTAGAGAAAATCATAATTGGAAAGTGATCTGTAAAAGATGCCTTAATTAGCATGTCAGTATTAACTGAACTGGCAAGAAATAGTTTTTGAAGTAGCAAAGAAGCTGCCACTAACACAAGGATAATATTATGTAGGGATGATGTGCAATTAAAACAATGTCTACAAATCTGTTAACTAAAACTCTAGCATATTTGGGCATTATCATAATTAATAGTATGTAAATTGTGATGCTCTACGACAGTAATAAATAGTTCCATAAAGCCAACAGTGAGATGTTACTAAGAGCATAATTATATAGGCATGTCAAAATCATCATAGGTTCCCACTGGCTTTCTGACCTCCATTAAGACAATTCATTAACCCATTAAGTTCCACTGAGTAAATGTATGACCTGGTAACACAGGCCATAATGCACAAGGATGTAGATCAATTTAGCTTTGGCTCTTTAATGTACATTACCCCCCTGCCCGGCTTCCTGATTAGCCGGGCAGCCAACTCCATGCTGTTTGGCTGGATCGATGCAGATTGGCTGGGCAGTGGGTCATTTTACCTGCTGCCCGGCTTCCTGCTTGGCCGGTTAGCCGACTCATGTTTCCTTGTTGAACTGCCGGTCAGACGAAATCTCGTCCGGACCTGAAGTTCTGGTATTGATGTTAAGTAACTGAGCATTTGGGCGAGTACGAGTACTATTATTGGTGCATTCCTAATATACTGTAATTATATATATATATATATATA